TTATTATTATTATTATTATTATGTTAAATCAATATTCTTGGAAATAATACTGCGAACTTGCACACGCATTATCCAATATTCAATTTGCTAAAACAAATATGGCAAATCAGAAATAATAACATAATCATTAATGTCAAAACAATAATTGAATTTAGAAGCAATCGAAACAATAATATTAGTAACAACGTAATTAAATTAAAAATTTGACATGCATGCATTACATTTAAATGCAACAATTACTCAAAAATTTGGCACATGGCATCGTTGGAACATCTTTGGACCACCGCATTAATCATAATTAACTCCAAACTTAAATAAAATTGTGTGCATATTACAATTAAGTTAATATGTATGCCGATCGTCTAGTGCGCGAATGTATATTCACCTATAAAATATAATTAGTCACAAGAAAATAAATTTATTAATTAAGCATTAAATATGACATTAGAGTAAACATGATAATTACGCAGTAATAATAATGTAAAGGGATGTACAGTGTTACAGAATGTGTGACTGAAAATAAGTATGTAGAAAAAGAGTTTACTATTAAACTACATAATTGAGGATATTTAAGTCATTGGACATCTTTCATCATTTAAATGCATTAGCTAAATCTGTATATATGTACATGTAGATATGTACAATCAATTAGTTAGAATACAACAAACAGAAATTCCAGCCATTTGCTCTCTACTTCTCTTCTTCTAGAATTCTCTGTGACTTCTTAAATTACTCATTCTTCTTCCTGAATTGGCTGCAGTTTATCATGGTATCAGAACGGTGAGGCTTCCCTACGATGGTGGCGAATTCCAGTGTTCAATTCAAGCGGAGGTTTGAAATCAATCTGTTTAGGAAAACTCAACCAGCAATTCATGAGCTGGAGATTCAGTTGTAGGAGATGCAGCTTCTCTTGTTAGTCAATTGGTGAGCGATCCAAGCAGTCCGTATTACCTACATTAAGGCGATAATACAGGAATGCAGCTCATTTCAGTCACACATGCTGAGGAAAATTATGCGACGTAGAGTCGCACGGCAACTATGGCACTCAGTGTTAAGAACAAAGAAGGATTCGTAGATAGATCTATAACCAAACCTCCTCAGAATGATCCTCTTTATAGTGCGTGGAGAAGGTGTAATCATGTAGTTTCTTCATGGATCAACAATTCAATTCCCAAAGAGCTATAATCTAGTGTAATGCATAAGGACTCTGCACAAGAGATTTGGATTGAGCCTCGAGATTGCTACAGTCGAAGCAATGACCCTCGTGTCTTTGAATTGAAGAAGCAGATTGCCTCAATTTCACAAGGTAATAGTTCAGTAAATTCTTATTTCAATCGGTTCAAAGGACTTTGGGAAGAACTAGACAATTACAAGCTAGGAGTCAATAATATTGATTACAAGTGTGAAGATCAAGTTATGCAATTCCTCATGGGGTTAGATGAACGTTTCTCTGGTGTTAGGAGTCAGATCTTGTTAATGGACCCACTGCCATCGCTAAATAAAGTCTTTGCAATGATTTTTCATTACTTCACCAGTTCATGAGTTTTTTGATCTTTAAGATCTGTAAATAATGTGGAATCATCTTGTAACGGGAACCTTGAGCCGTTTCTGTAGCTGTATCGATTAGGCTCCTGTTGGTGTTTTGGGCGATAGGTTTTGTAGATTTCTGGGTTATTTTCTAAGAGGTCATTCAATCCATGACTAGAACCTGGCAGAAGTCTGATTGTGTACCATTTGTAAACAATTCTCTCTAGAAGACAGTTGTGCATAATCATTTAAAAGGGCTTACCCCTGGGCATGAGCCCCCTGATTAGGCCGATTTGGCTGAACTGGGTCAATATATTGGTGTTATTGTGTTCTTTACTTTCTGTGGATTTATCTTTTATTTACAGTGTATGTTTTCTGCTGTTATTCTATAACCTGTTGCTGGCTTTTCCAATTTCTAGTCGATTAAACTCTGATTTGGGGAGATAAAACCCAACAACTCGGTATGTAATACAAAATCATCATAAAAGAACTCTAATACATGTGAACAAGCAGTCAAACACTCCAAATATGCATGTTTTTCCATTCTTATGTAGAAGTTAAGGACAAATGTGTTTCAGAACAAAACTTGTTTAAAAGTAATCTTACTTAGAAGTTAAGGGAAAGTTTAAGGACATATATGGTTTGTAACAAAACTTGCTTAACATTATTTTAGAAGAATGTATTTTGGAATAGTAGATTGATGAGAATGTGTGGTTGAAAAAGAAGAAAAAGTTATTGATAGGATGAAAAATATTATTTTATTGAAAAATGTGTAGTTGAAAATGAGTAGAAGAATGAGAATGAAAATTTTAATGTGACTCAAACAGGGGCTTAAAAGTAAGTTGATCTATTATTAAGCTCACATGCAAGCAATTGTCTAAGAGGGGCATGAGATGACAAAGGTAAAAACACAAAGTAACTCAGAAATGCTTCTTCTTCAAAAATATAACTATCATCTTCCATCACACAGACTCATGATGCTCACTTGTGTATACTTGAAACCACACCCTTAGCATTTCCAAATTCCACTAATAAGTTTCAGAGAACTTTTGATCCCCATTATTTTCAAAATACATTTTTTTTTCTTCTTTTCAAACACACATTTTTCTTTCATAAATGTAGTTTATACACTTATTCGTGGTTCTAAATTATGATATTTTATTGTCTTTTGGATTAAATTCTACTTAATTCATGTTATATTGTATTTTGTAGGTAAAATTTTTTGTTTAATAAAGAATTGAAAAAAAGAATGCAAAAGGGGTGAAAAATGGCAGAATCCAAAGATGAAACCTTAGAAAGAAATAATATATTAAATGTGTTGAAATTAAATGGGCCCCAATAGACTTGTATTGGAAATTTTAATTGGAGACTCAAATTAAACTTACCAATTTATATTTAAGAGAAAATTCATGGATCAAGTTTTAAGTTTGACCAATGCAAAAATCAGGTTTTTAAAAATTTTTAAATAAAGGTCACAATTATATGCAGTTTGGTCACATATATCTTATTAATTATTTAAAAATTAATTTTCGACTACAACTTATCAAATTAATTGGTCACAGATTATTTCGAGGTCACAATTGATTTTATTGATCACTGATCAAAAAATTTATAGGTCACAAGTTTAAAAAATTATAGATAACAGAGATCACATTTCCAAATTTGTTGGTCACAAATTATATTTTTTGTCACAGATTATCGAAGCTTGAGGTCACAGTTTAATAGTTAGCCATAGAGAATCATATAGTTGGTCACATACACCCAAACACCCGTCCCCTAATCCCAATCCACCACCAATACTTGGTCACAAATCAACCAAATAGTTGGTCACAGACACTGTTCGTCGTATCCCTGCCGATGCCGCCACCACAGCCATCCACCAACAATAACACAAACAACAACCACCACAGATCAGGCCAAACCACCAACAACAGATCCGCCAACACACAGCCACACACCAACAACAGCCAATAGCTACACATACATATCCGCCACCAACAAAAGCTAGACACACATCAGCCACCAACAACAGCCACTCACATGGATCCGTCCCATACCCACAAATCCATCGCCTCTCTAATTTCCTCAACTCTGATCCACCACACACTCATGGCAGCATTGCCACGCTGAACTGCAACAGCGTGCGACGCTGTTGCCGTTCAAAGCAGCGTCATCGCGACGCTGTGGAGAGAGACGATAGAGAAAATGGGGAAGGAAGGAGGCACCGCCCTGAGGAAAAGAATAGGGAAGAGGAGGGAGGCGAGAGAGATAGGGGAAGGGAGTAGAGAGATAAATTAGGTTATCGATTAGGGTTTTAATATAGTACCTAATTTTTGAATAAATAAACTTTACGACCTGAATTTTAAAAACCAATCTTCAAACACCTGGTTTTATTTAATTACCACTATATTTAAACTTGTTTATATATATATTTATACACGAACGGACAAAAAAAAGTGGGGGGAGGAGCAGGACAGCAGGCGCAGAAAAGAAAAGCCAGGAAAAAGATGAAAGAAAGAGAGAAAGAAAGAAAGAGAAGAAAAAGAAGAAAAGGGAAGGAAGGTCAAAGCATCAGAAAACGGCGTAGAAAGAGAGAAAGAAAAGGAAGAGAGAGAAGAAAAAAAGAAAAGGAAAGGAAATTGCAAACACCAGAAATTTTCACGTTTCGTCAATTTTTGGTGATATCTTTCCACTTTTGTGCTTTTTTATTTTTACAATATGAATAACTAATTTTTATATTCGGAAAAACAATTTAGTCGACTTGTGATCCTTTTTTTTATTATTCAAGATTTCTGTGATTTATTTATTTATGTATTGATTTTATTATGAGTTTAATGCATTCAAATAAATGATCAATAATTTGATGATTATGTGAATCTCTTACAAATCGAGAGGTGAGTTTGAGGTTTAGACCATATAATAAAATTTGGTAAATTAGTATAATGTGTAGAGATACCTACACTAATTATTGCGGTCATACTATGAATTCTTAGAATTAGTATTTCGTTTAACTAAAGTTGATTCACATAGAGATATGGAATTGAATTAGTTAAATAGGCTCAATGAGAACTCGAGATGGGTAAATTGAATACAATTGAAGAAGTCAATTGAACACTGCATTAGGTTATGAATCTTGAATTAAGAATAAAGGTCATCAATAGATGAAATTGTTATTCCCTAATATTCATCACATATTTAAATTTTCAATTATTCATTGTTTGCAATCATTTTATATTTTCCATTAGTTAAAAATAGTTAGGAAAAATAATTACAGTTATCATAATTATTTATTTGCTTTTGTCAAATAGGAGTTAGAAAAATTAAATTAAGTCCTAAAGTATAGTCCTCATGGAGTCGATAATCCGAACTCAAATGTCCACTATATCACTTGTTATGATATCATACACTTGCGATATAAAAACGAAACTTTCATTAAAATAATATTGTAAATTCAAAACATTTCCTTATTTTTCAACCACACATTTTTCATTAAAATAATATTATACGCAAATTCAAAACATTTTCTTATTTTTTAACCACACATTCTTCATCAATCAACTATTCCAAAGTGCATTCTTCTCTAAAAATAGAGCTCAAACAGGCTCAATATGTTTGGGATGTATATATGAATCAAAGATCTTGAGGTTGAATCAAGGAATCAATGGTTTGTGTTTTGGATCTTCACAAGATGATCTCTAATGTAAAATAATGATTCAAAATGATCTAGGCTTTGGTATATATAATAAGTAGTCTTTGGGGTGTAATAAGATTAAAATCAGTATTAAAACCGAAACAGAATTCTATATCGCTGAGCCGTCGTTCGAGTGCCAAGCTAGCACCAAAGGAGCGGCAACTGAGCAGTCATCAATATTTTCATCGTAACTTTCTTTCTCGATATAAGATTGAGGTAAATCTGAGTGTTTTAGAAAGATAACTCAAAGGGTTACAATTCTTCTAGAAATAGCATTTTTCCGTTTCAAATGTTTTCTATGTGAAAAATGCATCATAACTTGTAATTGAGATTTTGTAGCATGACTTGTGCACATCTTTGACATTCCTTAGACTTCTAATTGCATCTCGTTGATCATATGTGATCGTCTTGGACTCCTTCAAGACCTGTACTACAAACCCCAATTATTTTGACTTTAATTACAACTCAATTATAACTCAACTAACCTAGATTTTGGACACGGATAAAGCCAATAACAAATAGAGATCTAACAAAGTAGAGAGGAGAAAAAAGTACAAAATCTTATCCATTAAGTTGTCTGATCCACTCCATTAGTGTGACCAATATGCCTTAAAATATTTGACAGAAAACAAAGGAAATCAGCAATTACTGTCCAACAATTAGTTATGCAGACAAGGAAGAGACCCATTCTCCATAATAACCTGAAAAACATTGAAGAGAAGTGAGTTTGTTAACAAGATAACGCTGCTTACATCCTTCGATGATAGTATTCTTATTAGAGCTTTATTTAGATGGCAGCCAACTTGACTTTATGAAGATGCTCATAAGTGTATTAGTGTAGATCTCTCCAGCTGATACAAAGTTGACAAAGGGTTCACAAAACAATTGACAAGTCTCTTTATATTTCCACTATCAAAAATTTCAGATCATTGAGATCACTAAACATTTAAAACATTTTTCCTAGTCCCCTACTGTTACACCCCGCTCATTTCTAGTCGAAGTCAAGAATTTATTTAATCAAATTCAAAAATCCAACTGGTCAAAGTCAAAGTCAAATAAGGATTTAAGTCGGACATATGATTTTCATGGGGTCTAATTCGTAATTACAAGTACTTGAGGGCCAATAATAAAATAAAATAGAAATTTAGGGATTTAATTTTCTATTATTAGAATTAAAGGAGTTATATTATAGGAAGAATGGGAACTTGAGATGCAATTAAATAATTGTTAGCCACTAACTTAAGGATAATTGATCCATTTTTTCTCATTTTGGGGGGCAAAATCAGAGAGGAGGCAGATGACAAAACCAGAGGCAGAGAAAGGAAAAGAAGTGAAGGGAAAAAAAAAGGGAGGGAGGGGGGAAAAGGAAGGGATTAACGACAGAAGGAAAGGAATTGCCTAAATACAAAACGGTCCAACAGTATTGATCAATGTTTTAAAAACCGGGTCGAACCGGATGTCAAAATTGAATATATATACATACACGTAAACTAAAAAAAATTGTAATAATAATAAATTTTTTAGTTTTAATCTACTAATTCAAAGTACATATAAATTCATGTTTGTTAATTAAATTTATTTTAAAACTTTAAAAACTAACAATTAATATGTTAAAAATAATTGCTTTATTCAAAATATAATTAATTTTGATTATAGTTTTGTTGGGGCTATGATTTGTTAATGGATATAATGAGTAAACTATTAAATATTTAAAATTGGCTACAAATCTTATCCCACATTGGAAGAATAATGAAAACAATGGAAATTGAGTCTATAAAATGGTATAGCGGTTAGATGGAAATTTGAAATTGAGAGCCCATCAAAGAAGTTAAAAAAAAATTTCTATACAGTCAAAAATTGGAAATGGTTTTTCAGTTCATGGTTAAACTAGTCGGTTTAATGACTTCATCATCGATTTTTCTATATTTGGTTAATACTTTGTAAACGAGTTGGATTTGAGGCCGGTTCCTGGTTTTTCCTGCTGAACTTGTCGATCTGGTCCAATTTTTATAACATTGGTATTGATGTGCAACCAAAGAGAAGAGTAATAACACAATGGATTATGGTACTTGTACATAAAAATGGTATATAAGATATTACATAAAATGATGTTTGGAGAAAATATTGGATAAAAAAGTTGATTTTGTTTTAAATTGACAAATGATTGAGTGTCATATAACATTATATAATCCCTTAACGTTCCATAACTAAGGACAAGATCACTAAATTTTGGTAAGTTGCCAGCAACATTTCCAAATGTGGAAATGCCCAAACTGCCTACATAAAGTAGTGAAACATAAGGACAAAAACAGCCGGAAAGTAAAATTTGAAGCTGAAGCACAGTACAATTATTTATTTACAATACCTACCTCTTCGCGAACATCATCACTAGGGGAACTGCAACATGATCAATCACGACCTTGGTGTTATCAGATGTCCCAGATACAATGTTTGTAAGAGCCCAAGCTGCCTCAAACAAGAAAAAGGAATAACCCAATGCATGATCCAAAAAAATAAAAAATAAAAAAATTAGCAGTTGAAACACAAGAAATAAACAATTATTAACAAAAAAATTATACCTGAAGTTGCGGGTAGTCATCTCTTGCAAGAAACTCAACAAATAAATTAAAACGCAAACAAAATCAGCTGAAAGAAAAAACTAACAATAAACATTAAAAAGGCCCATTTCAAAATTAATAGAATCCACAAAGATAATTAATTAATTACCTATTGAAAGAAGTTTGCGAAACTGAGTTGTGGCTTCGAGTTGCAGTGTGCCGTCATTTGAGCAAAACTCTAGCAATCATTTCCGGAAGACTTTCTAACTGAATCATTGAAAAATGAAAATCCAATAACTCAAAACCGAAGTATTTTTCCATCTAGAGCAAATACAAATCAAATCGAACTATTCTCATCTCACATTTCTTCATGAATTAAAATGAACTGTATATCGCGATCCACAAGTATAATCAATGAAAACATTAACATTCCAAGACAAATTCGAAATTCAACTATGAGCTAGTTCTAATTTCATGTTCAACAATCAACTATAACTGTGAAACAAAATCTCATAAAAATCGTATGCAAAAAAGCAGAAGAATCAATCGTATTCATGTTTTCACCTTCTTGTCCACCTGTTGAGGGATGTTGACGGTGGGCTGAAACTGCTGTGCTTGAAGGCCTTCACGGCGTTTCTTCAGCAAGCTCTCGTCCCTTCAGTTCTTGTGGATCTCAACCATGTTGTCCTCCCTCCTTCGCAGCCCCACCTCCGCGTCCACCGCCACCTTGTACTTGGTCCGCCTCACCTCCGTCCTCGCGTATGGCCTCAACGACATCGTTTTCGCAATTCAGAAAACCAGATGACCTCAATTAAACAACAAATTCAATTTTTATGTATGTACATGTATCGAAATATCTTTGATAGTGACGAGAGTTAGATGAGGATGGCAACATGACGGGTATGGGACGAGTCGACCATTTTCACCCCCGTCCCGCCAGGTATTTTTGTTACCTTTCTCCATCCCTATACCTGGTTAAAGCGGGTTAGGGGAGGGATCAGGATGGGTGGGGCAGGGGATTTATTTATTTTATTTTTTACTTTTATTTGTTTATGTCTTTAGTTAGTAAATATTATTACTTTATTACCAATTTATTAAAAACAACTTACGTTCTCTTTAAAAATGATGATAAATCTATTATTTTTGTTTGATAAAAAACTTAAATTTAAAACTAACTTTAAACATTGCAGGTAGCGGGACTATGTTTCTTGTACCCTCTACGGGACAATGAACCTCACCTCGTCCCCTCTCCGTTTACCCGGTTAGACGGGTAATCCCAGCCCCATTCGGGACGGGGCCCACGGGTATCGGGTTAAAGGGATTTTTTTCTCATTCGTAGATGAGGTGACGATTATAAAGTTTCAACAACCGCCTAAATGAGAAATGGACATGGTTTACACTTTATTTACAGTAATGCCACTGAGTTTGAAATTCGTAGTTTGATCGTTTGCTTCACAACATAAAGTTTAGCAAGATCAGGATCGTTTAATTTGATGGTACGCCAACTTTAAAAATCATAAAATTTGTGGCATAAGACTTAACCCTTGTTCGGTCTCCATTATAATTTACTGTACTTTTCTCTCTCCTTATTTTAATTACACATTATTTAATAAAATAATATTAAAAGTAAATTCAAATTTTTTTCTTTCTTTTTTAACCACACATTCTTTAAAAAAATCATTATTCCAAAAACTCATTATAGTAAATCCCAAACAGGGGCTTAGGATTATGATGTGTGGGGTCACCATAGATGAGAAGAGAGGTTTATTCATGTACTTTCGTTAATAGAATCCTGAAATCATGTTTGTGTAATCTTAAAGTTTATTTTTTAAAATAAAAGGTTAAATTATTTATAAAGATAAAAAATATTGATTTTTTATTTTGAAAATAAAATTTTACTTTTTAATTATTGTCAAACATGATCTTTCTATAATATATCGAATGTTGGTGAAATTTTTTAAATAAGATTCAATAGCTTCAACCACGATGAATTGATCAGACGAAACTCTAAAGGATAACATTGTCACCTTTTGGAGCTCCTTGAGTCATACAAAATTGATCTTTCGAAATATTTTGAAAAACTACGTAGATATTTTATTGGTCAGACACATGACTACAAATTTTGAAGGAGTCATGCAGCAATCGAACCTTAGAATTTATCTATGCTCCAACCCAATTACACGTTAGGTTTTTGATGTAATTGACAAGTCTATAAACAAAATGAACTAAATTTAATATGTTGTAAAAGTCAAGGAGTAAGTTGCAAATAGTAGAAATTGGGTTGTATTAGGTTTAGGATTCAAGAATGGAAAGAATGAAAAACGGCGCTGCAATTTCGCTAGACTGTTGTCATGACTTGGCTCGAGCATCAAAAACAAAAACATTGTCTCTCGTCTGCCACTTTGCCTTCGCTCGAGCGACACACTTTCGCTCGTCTGTCGCCCAACTTTCACTCGAGCGACAGGGTTATCCGAAGAATTTTTAATTCATTTTTTAGGGTTTTTATCCTGCCCATTCATTCCAAAACCTAAACTATAAATATCAAACGCCTTTTAACGTAAATTCCAAAGTTGATTATTGTGAAAATAAACTCTTCATATCCTCTTCATCAAAGAAGCTTTCAACCTTCATGCTGTAATTTGTTCTTGGCGGTGAAAACATCAAATCCACAATCCAAATACTAAACTGCTACCTACACATCCGTTAGAGTTTTGAAGATCAAGGGAAGGTGCTGGAGTTCCAGTTGTTGAAAAACGGGGAGTTCTTCATTACTCCATAGGAGATAGGCGAATTCATAAAGTCAAAAATTGCTGCAGGAGCGTGCAATCCAGGAGAGCTTTGAAACCTGCAGCTGGGAGTTGGTGCAGGAGCACAAAATCCAGGAGAGCTGTAAGAATTGCAGTCAGAAGGTCAGAAAGTACTAGTGGTAGTCGAGTCTGGCTGGCTGTAAGTTCTAATTCGATTATAGTAAATTGTTGACTAGCAAAGTGCCCAAAATTTTTACCCAATTGGGGTTTCTCCGTGATCATTTCTTGTGTTTGTTTATTGCTTTCATATAACTGCGGTATTTCAATATAGGAAAATTTGGAGTGTTTGATTAACCACCTAGAAATAATTAATAGTGACTTGTTGCTAATTAATTATTAAGTTTTAATTCCGCATAATCACCTATTCACCCCCCTCTATGTGTAGTTTGGGTTGAACCTCGTTATTTCAGTGTGCACCAAAAGTGTCTTAGAATTTATGGTAGAAAACAAAGGAAATGATGAATTATTATGCAAGTGTAACAAACAAGCCCAGCTTGTGAAGCAGGCAGATGCTCGTCATCCTCTTCCTACCAATATGTTTCAAGTAGTTTCAAAGCAATTTCGCATATTTCATTGTTGTCATGAGCCTGCAGGTTCTTAATCTTCTGAAGACCCCCAGCAACATCTATTAGAATCCCACATTGTTTGGGAAAATATAAATGATCCACTTAATAAGGTGAGGGCAATCCTCCCCTAAGAAGCCAGTTTTATTAGGTGGAGTTAGGCCCAATATTCCTAACATGGTATCAGAACTAGGCCCAATTTATGCAATGTTGGGTGCCATCCAATATCGATTTGTTCACAGTTGTTTGGCATGGTCCACGTTGTGCGTGAGGGGCCGTATTAGAATCCTACATTACTTGGGAAAATATAAATGATCCACTTAATAAGGTGAGGGCAATCCTCCCCTAATAAGCCGGTTTTATTAGGTGGAGTTAGGCCCAATATTCCTAACATCATCAATCATCTGAGTAAAGACATTCACATCTTCCGTGTTACCTTGGTTCTTCTCAACTTTTCCAACCTTCAGAATGTTCTCAATTAAGGCCTTCCAAGCAGAGTTTTATGACACGGGCTTCGTTGGGACTACCTAGAAGATCGCACAATGACTTTATACAACCCTCGTGCACCAAGAACCTGTCACCAAGATGAACCATTAATTCTCAAACCTATATGTACAATAAACTAAGAGAATATGACAATAGATGTGGAGAATTTACTTAATTTGCTCGTTAGTTCCGTTAGAAATGGCATAAAAAATAGCCAAAACAAGTGACATCAGCGTTGAAAAATCAGCATTTTGAAGTAGTTGGAGAAGATATGAAATAATACCAGCCTCAATCACAGCCTGTGTATAAAGATGAGATAACCTCAGCATCCGTCATTTTAAGAGAAAAACGGAAGACTTGGAACTTACAAATAGAAACAGAAGTACAAATGTCAAATTCATCACGACAATTGCACTACTA